TCTTATTCTTCTTCTCCTTCTTCCTCTCTCCTCTTCTTCCTCCTTCTTCTTCTCCTTCTTCTCCTCCTTCTCTTCCTCCTCTTTCTCCTCTTTCCTCCATAGCCATGTAGTATTCCATTGTGTAAATGTACCATTGCTTTCTTAACCACTCATCTGCTGATGGGCACATGGGCTGTTTCCAGATCTTGGCCATTGTCAATAATATTGCTATAAACATAGTGATCCATATTTTTTTCCTGATTGGCATCTCATGATTCTTATGATATATAACCAGAAGTGGGATCGCTGAGTCAAAAGACAGTTCCATTTTTAATGTTTTGAGGAAATTCCCTACTCTTTTCCATAGTGGCTGCACCAGTCTGCATTCCCACCAGCAGTGCACAGGGGTTCCCTTTTCTCCACATCCTCACCAGCACTTGTTTTTTATTGACTTATTGATAGTGGAGATCTTATACATGTGAGGTGATACCTCATTGTTGTTTTAATTTGCACATCTCTCTGATGTTAGTGATATTGAGCATTTTTCATGTCTATATAAGTACAGCCCATGGACACAGACAATAGTTAGGTGAAGGCTAAGGGAGGGGGGTGTAGAGATGGGTGGAAGCAGGCAAAGGGTATGGAATAGGGTGACACCTGCAATTGTCTATTGGCCAGCTGTATGTCCTCTTTGGAGAAGTGTCTATTCAGGTCCTTTGCACATTTTTTAAGATATGTTTTTATTTATTTAGAGAGAGAAGAAAGGAGAGGGAGAGAGAGATAGAAATGTCAATGGGAGAGAAACATCAACATCTATCGGCTGCCTCCTGCACACCCCCTACTGCACACCCTCTCCACCTCCCTGGCCTCCACTTCCACAGGCCTCCACCTCCCCTGCCTCCACCTCCACAGGCCTCTGCAGACTGAAAGGTTCCAGGTTCGATTCCGGTCAAGGGCATGTACATTGGTTGCGGGCACATCCCCGGTAGGGGGTGTGCAAGAGGCAACTGGTCGTTGTTTCTCTCTCATTGACATTTCTAGCTCTCTATCTCTCTCCCTGTAAAAAATCAATAAAATATATTTTAAAAATGGTGGTTATAATGAGAGGCAAATGAATCAGTCTATGGTGAGTTTCTTTCTGGGCCAAGAGTTCTTTTGAGTCCCAATTTCTATGTTAAACAGTTCCTTATGTGTACATGTCAGCAATGATATTTCAGTTCTGGATGGTGGGCAAATGGTGGTAATGCAGGTCCGACCCTCTCTGGTTTGTAGGATGGTTTTAAGTGATAAAAAAACAAACAAAACAAAACAAAACAAAACAGAAAAACACACCATCTTGGCCAAATTTGACCTTGGACATAAAGGAATTCTAAAAAATAATACACTACCATCCATCACAAGGGACATAGCATTTGCTAATGTATTCCAGAACCTATGCTGGCCCCTTACCCCATGCAGGCCCAGAGTAATACAAGTATGAACAGGATATAGTCCTGTCTTTGAATTTATTAAGTTACTTCAAAGAAAATGTCGGTGTAAATCACTCTTCACCTATGGCATTACTACATAAACCTGTCCGTGCTAACATGCTCAGTGCTGACTAAAGCTCCTGTGCACAGGCAGCAGGCGGGCACGGCTCTCACCGTGCCCAGCAGAGTCCCAGAGACCCTGGTTCCTTCTCTGCCTCTCTGCCCTCTGGCCTCCTCCCAGGGACACGCACCGGTGCCTGGGTGCAGGCCCCCTCGCCCAGCCAGGAAAGCTGAAGCTGTGAGAGCGGATGGCAGTCCACCCCAGCTCAAGGAATCCACACAGTCTCTGGGGGAAAGAAACAGCCCAAAGCCAGGGTGCACCTGCTTAATTGAAAAGCAGCACAGATCCTTGTAAAGATCACGCACAGGAAGGAAAGCCTGTGTCGCTGGCTGCTGCTTTTGAGGATATTTTGAGGTTTGCGCTGGCTGCTCTGTGTTTTGTTTTCCGTTGTGGAGTGAGCTGCGTGTGGGCTATTAGAGTATGAATCCCTGAACTTAGGGCCATGGACAAAAGGACTCAAGCCAGGGCAGAGGGCAGGGATGCCCCGTGGAAATGGCTTCAGGAGCCCCAAGTCATGGTGACAAAGACACTAACAAGAGAGAACAGCAAGTCAGGTCAGAGGATGGAGGAGCCCGGATCGGCCCAGAAGGTGGAACACCGGTGGAGAAGGGATGTCACAGCGGGGCGGTGGGGGAGGGGGTGATAGTGGGTGGCGGGGGTGGCTATGCAAGCTGCAGGTGAGTCAGGGGATGGAGTCAGAGTGAGGATCGGGGAGGGGTGCTGCACCAGCACAAATGCAGAGATGTTTTATTCATTCTGAAGAATGAGCATAAGAAATTCAAAGTTTAAATTAGACCAACCCTACTAAACAAGAAACTTCCCCTGTGGCCCTTCACATGGCGTGAGTAAATACATGACACTGAGCCCACAGCTTGCCTGCAGAGACGGGAGATAAGGGAAATTTGTTTCCTAAGAACTAGCAGCTCAGACCTCAGTCCTCATCAGCCAACGCTGAAGACAGGACAGAACCCAGTGATCCTGGAGCTGACCCCTCCTGAAAGTCACCGTGACCCCCTCAGCAGAGCCAGCTACCTCCTCTTACTTCCTAGACTCCAGGCCATCTGCATTCATGTGATCTGTGCTATCAAGTCGTCCATACATGTGAGCAAATAAGTTGCTTTGTTATGTCTCCAAATAAAAGAGAAGCAGGTTCTAGTATCTCCCATAATCCTATCTAATAAAAGAGTAATATGCAAAGTGACCATCACTCCAACACACAAGATGGCTGCCCTCACGTGGTCAAAGATGGCTGCCACAAAATGACTTTCAGGGGAGTGCAGTTAGGGGCAATCAGGCTGGCAGGGGAGCAGTAGGCATCAATCAGGCTGGCAGGGGAATAGATAGGGGGTGATCAGGCTGGCAGGCAGAGTGGTTAGGGGCAATCAGGAAGGCAGGCAGGCAAGCAGTTGGGAGCCAGCAGTCCTGGATTGTGAGAGGGATGTCCGATTGCAGAGGGTGCAGGCTGGGTTGAGGGTCACACACCCCCGCCCCGTGCATGAATTTTGTCACAGTAATAAAAAGCATGACCCTGCATGTAAAATGCAGCAAAATATGGATCTCACATTTTATGTCATATGGTCACCTTTGAAATTCTCTTTCATTAGCTTCTAGGATGAACTGTTCTGATTCTGTTTGTCTATTTATTCACCTACTATTTATTGGGTGTACATATGTGCCAATCACTCCTCAAGGTACTGGGGATATAGCATTGGACCAAATAGGAAAAACACACACACACACACACACACACACACACACACAAAACATCCCTTTGTCCTCATGTAGCTTACATTCTGTCTCACTATTCTTTCACTCCTTTTGCTACATGTTCTCTCTCTCTCTCTCTCTCTTTCTCTCAGTTAAATATGCATATTACATGCCAGGACTTGTGTCAAATGTGTGATATCTATTAACTCGTTGGATCCCGAGTGGCACTAGCACTGTCCTCGAATGTTAGAGGAAGTGGCATGGGACGTTGGCACAGCTCCCCTAGAGCCCCTCAGCTAGCAGGTCTGCAGCCCAGGGTCAGGGTACATGTTCTGTCATGGAGCCCTCTGGACCTCTGCTTTCTTTTCTAACATCAGGGTTAGCTCAGACCTGTCTGTGTCTGTTCTCAAAGACTCCATTCACTTCATTATGCGCACACTCTTCCAGCAGATGCCCTCAACCTTTCAGATTTGGCCTGCTGCCAAAGCTCCAGGCCAAGTGTCACGGGAGCAGTGCCACCGGGACCTGGCTTCTCCCTGGGGCCTTATCTGCCCTCACTCACCCTTGTCTGGCCGCACACAGCCTGGCTGGGGCTGGAGTAACTGGTAAATCCTGCGCCCGCCTCTGCAGCTCCTCTGGACTCGGCCCTCTCACTTGCCACCGCCCCCTTTCCACCGGTGGTTTGCACTGGCTCTTCAGGTGCTGGCGCAGGGTTCCACCTGGCCCCCGAGGCTGCTTTCCAGTCCTGGGTTCCAGTCTTGCAGCGCTGGCCAGTTTCCTTGTCCCAGGTATCAGAGCTGGGCCACATGTCTTTTGCTCACCTTGCATCTGTTTGCTGCACACATGCCTACTATCACTTCAAACTCAACACAATGCAAATTACATTGTGTTCAATGGCAGATGTCTACCTTCCAGTGACCTAATGACCTCGCCAAACTCATCCTAGGTCAGGATCGCCCACATACTGTCTGTCACACCATCTTCCTCCTTCTCTGTCTTTCACACACACACACACACACACACACACACACACACATGCACACCCGCCCCCTATGTACACAGGAGCAGGCCCTCTGACAGCCTCTGCTTGGTTGACCTTCCAGGAACCTCTTGGCCTCCAGCCTTGTCACCTCTGCGGCGCAGCAATGCTCACTCCCTGGCCTGCAGGATCCTCTCTGGGGCCCACCAGCTGGTCATTCAGATGCTCTGAATGTCCTGTCATCATCACACATGTCTATTCGGGCATCTATCTCCCCTTCAATTCATGTACTCATTTAAGAAAACAATCATGAGCTGATTAACGGGAGGTAGACAGGTTGGAGTTTGGAAAAAAAAAAGATGTTAAGCAATCATTATGTGTGTAAAGGCTAGGAGGCTGCTGGGTGGTGCAGGACGCGGCAGAAGGAAGGCTCTCGGCCCTTCTCCCGTTCAGGGGAGGGGGAGCGGGAGCAGAGGAAGGCGCACCGTCAGGGGCTCCGTCAGACGCGCCAGGTGCCGGGAGGCCTGGGTGTGCATCGCCGGTAGCCAGTCCTGGGCGCTGTGGCTTCTCGCAGGGAGGGGCTGCCGGCCTCCGGAACCCCGTCCCGCAGATAACCGTGCGGGCCGCGGCCTCCGGCGGGCCCCTCCCGGCGCGGCGGGAGGGGAGATAGCGGGCGGCGGGCGGAGGGCCTCCGGGCGGAGCGGGCGCGGAGCGGACGGAGCCCGCGCGGCCGGGGGGCGCGGGCATGGCCGCGGGGTCGGCGGGGCAGCGGCTGCGGGAGGAGGCGCGGTGCCCCGTGTGCCTGGACCTCCTGCGGGAGCCGGTGAGCGTGGACTGCGGCCACAGCTTCTGCCTGCGCTGCATCTCCGAGTTCTGCGAGCGCGCGGCGGGCGCGCAGGGCGGCGTGTTCGCCTGCCCGCAGTGCCGCGGCCCCTTCCGGCGCGAGGGCTTCCGCCCCAACCGGCAGCTGGCCAGCCTGGTGGACGGCCTGCGGCAGCTGGGCCCCGGCGCCGGCCCCGCCGGCCCGCAGTGCGCGCGGCACGGCCAGGAGCTCGGCCTCTTCTGCGAGGAGGACCAGGCGGCGCTGTGCGGGGCGTGCGCCGCGGGCCCCGAGCACCGCGGCCACCGCGCCGCGCCGCTGCAGGAGGCCGCCCAGCGCCACCAGGTGAGCGGGCTGCTCCCGGGACCCGGTGTCCGCCCGGCGCCGCCTCCCCTGCGCCCCGGGCACCCGGCCCCGCGCCCCATCCCCTTGCCCGCACTACCCCCTCCCCAACCTCCGCGCGCCCGGGCATCCCCCCTGTGAGCCCAGTCCCCCCTCACAGCACGCACTCAGGGTGGGAAGGGGGGCCCTGCCTTTGCCCCATGTACCCCCTCTGCGACCCTTGGTCTGGGCCCCACAGTTAGAGCCCCGGTGTCCACTTGCCGCTTGGCTCCAGGTGTGCATTTTTATTGGCATAACCCTCCTTTGACATGGTGTTTACTCGCCTTGTCAACGCTGTGACCAGCACAGGCCTGGGGGGTCGGGTCCGGTGCTAGTTAAATAGCGCCTGAGGGGGCTCAGGCTCTGCAGTAGGGACCCAGGAGCTGAGGGCACAAGCAGGTCTTTATTCAGCTCATATTCGGGGACTGAGGCTGTGAGCGCCTTCATGAAGGGGTGCCTCTTATAGGAATACTTTCCCCCCGCCCCCAAGGGTCATCTGTGAAACTCTAGACATAGAATTCTCCTTCCTGGTGCTCCTCGAAAGTTCCTGGACATATTCCATTTATTTTTAAAAATATATTTTATTGATTTTTTACAGAGAGGAAGGGAGAGGGATAGTTAGAAACATCGGTTAGCTGCCTCCTGCACACCCCCTACTGGGGATGTGCCCCCAAGCAAGGTACATGCCCTTGACTGGAATCAAACCTGGGACCCTTGCCTTGAGCCTGCAGGCGGATGCTCTATCCACTGAGCCACACCAGTCAGGGCCTGAACACACTCAAATTCCTGACATTTGGAACAGCTACTAGCAAAAGGAGATATTGACTTGTTTGTCTGAAATACTATCACGATGAAGTGAATTAAAGTACAAACTTTCTTTTATTTTTAAAACTTAGTTTTAAATCAAGATTTGGGTGTTTGTCCCCTCAGCTTCCCTCTGGACTTACCTAGAAACATCTCTCAGAGTTTTCTTTTTGGTTTTGGGTGCCACCTACAAAACTCAGATGCCAGCTGTTTCCCAGCCGGACTTTTGCAGAATGTTTCTGCCTTCTTTACATCCAGAAGGCACCGCACAGAGCATGGCTAGTGTAATCTTTCTAGAGGAGTTTTCTATATTTTAGTAGTCTTTCAATTACGTGCCAAATAAAAACCTTTTGAGCATCTTAGTCACTGGTTGGCAAACTCATTAGTCAACAGAGACAAATATCAACAGGACAACGATTGAAATTTCTTTTGAGAGCCAAATTTTTTAAACTTAAACTTCTTCTAATGCCACTTCTTCAAAATAGACTCGCCCAGGCCGTGGTATTTTGTGGAAGAGCCACACTCAAGGGGCCAAAGAGCGAGCCACAGATTGCCAACCACTGTCTTAGCCTCTCAGTCTCACCTTGTTAGGGCTCAGTGTTCTCTTTCTACAGTTCGCTTCTTCACCAGCCAAGAGGCAGCAACACCGGCCTAGTCCCTGATTGCCCAAGCACATCCGGCCTTGGCACCTCCTTGCTTCTGCTCACAACTTCTTCCCCGGGAGGGAGCTTTCTCCATCTCTGTGTTTCTGTTCTTCCCTAAAACGAATGCCATTTCGGTCGTGTTAAATCCTTCATGAATTCTAATGCGTTTTACCAGCTTTACTTTATAATTATTATGTTTTTAGAAATAACTGGTGATTAGGACTTATTAATGACTCTGGCATGAGTTTTTGTTTTTTATTGATTTTTCACAGAGAGGAAGAAAGAGGGATAGAGAGTCAAAAACATCGATGAGAGAGAATCACCAATCAGCTGCCTCTTACACACCCCCCGCTGGGGATGTGCCCACAACCAAGGTACATGCCTTTGACCGGAATAGAACTTGGGACCTTTCAGTCCGCAGGTCGACGCTCTATCCACTGAGCCAATCCGGTTTCGGCTGGCATGAGTTTTTATGTTATGAGACTTATTGAATCACTTTGGGTAGAGTTTTAAAATTTGTGTGTGGGTGTACCTTTGTGTGTGTTTACTGTAAATAAAATGTGTTTACCACTAGCAGGAGTTAGGGTTAAAAGGAGATTTCGTTTTCATTACATTTTTTTCACTCCTTGTGAGATTTACAACATTCTCTATTTATTTTTCATTGGATAAATACCAACTTATATGCTTTCTTGTCGCCTAATAATAACACTTTTCTGATTCCAAAGTAGTAAATAATTTTTGGAAGTTAACATGTACAGATTTAGGAATAACCTTATTGCTCAACAGCACTAATAGGTAAGGTTTTTCAAAATATTTTGAATTTTTTTACTTATACTGCCTATTTTTTATATATTCTTTAAAGCACATTTTACAAAATTGGTATCACATTACATAAAATATGCTTATTTTAATTAACTTTATAATTTTGAGTATTTCTTATTAAGCCCCTTATTTTAATTTTATCCTGTTAATGTAAAATACATTTTTCTTACCTCCTACTTTTAATATTTTGCTTAGTTGTGTTTTACTATTTCTAATATGCCACAATAACATACTTTTAGATACACCTTTGATTAGGTCTCACGTTCACAAAGTGTATTTTTATTTCATTTCATTACAATGAGGTTGGACATACTGCTGTGCTCACAGGCCTGTTTTAGGTGACCATTGCAGTGCCTGACACAGCTCGTCGGGATGGATCCTGAACCAGGCATCTTAATGGTCTCAGCGTATCTTCCCAAACAGGCAAAGCTCCAGATGGCCCTGGAGTTTGTGCGGAAGGAGATGGAGGAGGCCTCGACTCAGGAGGCCAACGTGGGGAAGAAAACGGTCATCTGGAAGGTACGAGGATATTGTGACTTCGGAAGGCTTGCATGTTTGCAGGATACACACTTGGGCCATTAAAGTATTCTTCCCCGCCCCAGCACTTTCGTTACAGCTGCGCCCTTCTTATCTGTAACCACCGCCTGAATCAGACAGCTTTGCTGATCGGCTCTCACTGTATCTCCCTGCTGCACCCCGGAGCCTCCAGCAGAGTCCGGCTCTACCGCTGCGGGGGTGAAGATTGCTGGATGAATGAATAGTACACATTTCATAGCATTGGAGTAGATGAAACACAGCTAGAGGAGATCCATCATACATACAGCAGGGTCATTGGACATTCAGCCTCCTTTTTTAATTTGAATTTTTTATTGTTGACACTGTTGCAGATGGCTCCCATCTCCCCTTTGCCCACCTTCACCCCCTTCCCCCTATCGCCCCCTCCTCCCCTTCCCTTGGCCTTCATCACACTATTGTCTGTGTCCACGGGCTATACGTATATGGTTATGTTCACCTTTATCCAGTTCACCCCAACCCCGCCCCTCTGACATTTGTCAGTCTGTTTAACGTATCCATGCTTGCGGTTCTAATTTGTTCTTTAGTTTATTTTGTTCATTAGATTTCACATACTGATATAAGTGAGATCATATGGTATTTGACTTTCTATGATTGGCTTATTTCATTTAGCATAACGCTTTCCAAGTTGAGCCAAGCTTTTTTTTTACAGCTTTTTTTTAAAATCCCTTCATCTGCTGATGGGAACTTGGGCTGCTTCCAGATCCTGGCTATTGTAAATAATGTTGCCATGAGCAGAGGCGCATACATTCTTTCTGATGGATGTTTCAGGATTCTTAGGATATTCCCAGAGGTGGGATCACTGGGTCAAATGGCGGTTCCATTTTACTTTTTTTTCCCACTGTTTTCTGTAGTAGCTTTACCAGTCCATACTCCCATCTACAGTGCCCTAGAGTTCTCTTTTCTCCACATCCTCACCAGCACTTGTTGTTTGTTGACATTCTAAAAGGTATGAGGTGATACCTAATTGAAGTTTTTATTTGCTTCTCTCTGATGATTAGTGATATTGAGCATTTTTTTCATATATCTATTTGCCATCTGTATGTCCTCTTTAGAGAAGCTTCTTTTCAGATCCTTTGCTTATTTTTACTATAAAGTTGGATTGTTTGTCTTCCAGTGTTGATTTGTGTAAGTTCGTTAATATTTTGGAGATTAACGCCTTATCAGATATATCATTGGCAAATATGTTCTCCCATACAGTGGGTTCTCTTTTCATTTTGTTGATGGTTTCTTTTACTGTGAGGAAGCTTTTTAGTTTTTTGTAGTCTCATTTGTTTATTTTTTCCCTGAGTTTTCCTTATTCTCAGAGACACATCAGCAAAAATATTGCTGTGAGAAATGTCTGGGATTTTACTGCCTATGTTTTCTACTAGAATCTTATGGTTCATGACTTACATTGAAATCTTTTATCCATTTTGATTTTATTCTGGTGTATGATGTAAGTTAGTGGTCTAGTTCTTTCCCTTCCCTTTCCTCTCTTTTCTTCCTTGTATACCTGTCCAATTTACCCAACACCATCATTGAAGAGACTGTCTTTACTCCATTGTATATCCTTACCTCCTTTGTCAAATACTAAATGTGACCATTAAAACATGGGTGTATTTCTGGGGTCTCTGTCCTGTTCCATTGATCTATATGCCTGTTCTTATGCCAGTACCAGGATGTTTCGATTGCAATAGCCTTGTAGCATAGTTTGCAATTTGGTATTGTGATATCTCCAACTTTCTTCTTCTTTCTCAAGATGATTGCAGCTATTCAGTGTCTTTTGATTCCATATAAATTTCGGAATATTTTTTTATCTTGAAATATGCCATTGATATTTTAATAGGGATTGAGTTGAACTTAGATATTGCTTTGAGTAGTATGTACATTTTAATTATGTTAATTCTTCCAATCCATAAACATGGTATGTGTATCCACTTATTTGTATCTTGCTTAATTTCTTTCTTCAATGTTCAATGTTCTATTGTTTTCTGAGTACAGGTCTTTTATCTCCTCGGTTAAATTTATTCCTAGATACCCTATATTTTTGTGGTTGTTACAATAGTAGATGGGCTTGTTTTCGGAATTGGTGTGTGTCTTTTGTTTTGAGGTGAGTTTCTTGTAGATAGCATGTAGTTGGGTCATGCTTTCTTATTCATTCAGCTATCCTGTGTCTTTTGGTTGGGACATTTAATCCATTTACATTTAAGGTTATTATTGATAGGTACTTATTTATTCCCACTTTTATTCTGTATGCCCATGTCCTTCTTGTTCTCTCTATTTCTCCTTCTTACAGTAGTCCCTTTAGCATTTCTTGCAATGCTGGTTTGGTGGTAATGTATTTCTTTAGACTTTTTTTGGCTGGGCAGTTCTTTGTTTCACCTTCAATTGTGGATGATATAGCCTTGCTGGATAGAGTAGTCTTAGTTTTAGATTCTTGCTCTTCATTACTTTAAATACTTCATGCCATTCCTTTCTAGCTTGTAATGTTTCAGTTAAGAAATCAGCTATAGCCTTATGGGAGCTCTCTAATAGGTAACTGATTTTCTCTCTCTCCCTCTCTCTTGTTGCCCTTAAAATTCATTGTCTTTAAAGTTTGCTATTTTAATTATGATGTGTCCTGCTGTGGGTCTCTGTGTGTTCATTTTTATTTGTCTCATTGTGCTTCCTGAACTTATGGGACTTTTTCCTCCTTCAGTTTAGGGAAATTTTCTGTCAGTATTTTATCAAACAGGTTCTCTAGCCGAAACCGGTTTGGCTCAGTGGATAGAGCGTCGGTCTGCGGACTCAAAGGTCCCCGGTTGGATTCTGGTCAAGGGCATGTACATTGGTTGCGGGCACATCCCCAGTAGGGGGTGTGCAGGAGGCAGCTAGTCAATGTTTCTCTCTCATCGATGTTTCTAGCTCTCTATCCCTCTCCCTTCCTCTCTGTGAAAAATCAATAAAATATATATTTTTTTTAAAAAACAGGTTCTCTAGTCCTTGCTCACTTTCTTCTTTCCCTGACACCCCTATGATGTGGATTTTGCTGCATTTCGTGTTGTCCCTCAGTTCCCTTAAATTGTCCTCTTGCATTTTAAGTATTTTTTTCTTTTTCTGTTCTAATTGGGTGATTTTTTTTTTTTCTACTTTGATTTCTAATTCACTAATTGGATCTTCAGGTTCTTCTAACCTACTGTTAATTCCTTCCAGGCTATTCATTATTTCAGATATGTCATTCTTTATTTCTGACTCTTTCCTAGTCATAGTTTCTATGTCGTTTTTCATGCTGATGTTATTCCCACTAAGTTCCTTGTAGTTCTCACTACGTTGTTTGAACATCCTTATAACCGTTACTTTTAACTCTATATCTGATAAAATGCTTGCCTTCGTTTAATTTAGCCCTTTTTCTGGAGATTCTTCCTCTTCTTTCATTTGTGACCAGTGACTTTGTTTCCCTACTTAGTGTGTGTTGTTGTTTATTTGTATTGGATAAGACTGCTGTACCTCCCTGTCTTGGATGGATGGCCTTCTTTTTGGACACAGTGTAGTAGTCTCCTTGATCTTATGATTGGGGTGCTCGTGGAATGTCCCTTGTGTTGAATATAGGGGTCATACTGTCGCATTTGGCTCTCTAAAAAAAATTTAAGTCTTTTTTATTGAAAGAATTACATATGTTCCCTTTATTCACACACACAAAAAAACCCTTCTAGCCTCAGGCATTCCACACCCTATTGTCTGTGTCCATGGGGTATGCACATATGCATACAACTTATTTGGTTGATCTTTTCCCATCCACCCTCTCTCCCCCACCTTCCCTCTGAGATTCCGCACTCCGTTCCATGCTTCCATGTCTCTGGATCTACTCCATTCATTAGTTTGTTTTGTTAATTAGATTCCACCTATGAATGAAATCATGTGATACTTGTCTTTCTCTGACTGGCTTATTTCCCTTAGCATAATACTTTCCAAGTCCTTCCATGCTGTCTCAAAGGGTAAGAGATCTTTTTTTTTTTTTTTATTTTGTTTTACTGTTGCATAGTATTCCATGGCTTTTTTATCCATTCATCTACTGATGGGCACTTAGGCTGTTTCCAGATTTTAGCTATTGTAAATTGTGCTGCTATGAACATAGGGGTGTATACATTCTTTCTGATTGGTGTTTTGGGTTTCTTAAGATATATTCCTAGCAATGGGATCCTTGAGTCAGATGAAAGTTCCATATTTAATTTTTTGAGGAAATTCCATACTGTTTTTCACAGTGCCTGCCCCAATCTGCATTCCCACCAGTAGTCCACTAGGGTTCCCTTTTTCTCACATCCTGGCCAGCACTTGTATTTGCAGGTTTGTTGATGGTAGACATTCTGACAGGTGTGAAATAATAACTCATTGTCATTTTAATTTACATCTCTCTGATGATCAGTGGCTTTGAGCATTTTTTTTCACATGTCTCTTGGCCATCTTTATGTTTGCATTGGAGAAGTGTCTATTGCCAAAACCTTTGAGGCGGGATTCAGGATCTAAAGGAGGGGCTGGCGCACAGATGAAAATGCTTTACAAGAAATATGAATTTAGAAGGCATGGGGGGTCAAGTGGAGACCTCTCTCTTGAATAGGTACCCCAGCTTCTGGCTGGTCCACTTTTTACTTACTTGAATACACATTTACCCTTTACAGGCAGATCAAAGGTGAAGTTGGATTATCAGGTTAGGGAATTGCCTTCAGCCATTGAGCCCACAGCTGGGCAGTATTATGCTGATTTTCAGTCCTGCTAAATATCCACGTCCATTGGCCTTCCAAAGAGTGTTTTTGCATTAACATGCTAACTACTGTTTGCTTTAGCCTCTGATAGACTACTTAGGTCCTTTGCCCATTTTTTAAATTGGATTGTTTATTTTGTTAAATTGTATGACTTCACCATATATTTTGGAGATTAACCTTTTATCAGATGTTTCATTGCCAAATATATTCTGCCACATAGTGGGCTTCCTTTTCATTTTGTTGATGGTTTCTTTTGCTGTGCAGAAGCTTTTCATTTTGATGTTGTCCCATTTGTTTTCTCCTTCATTTCCTTTGCTCTAGGAGATGTATTCATAAACATTGTTATGAGAGATGTTTGAGATTTTGCTGTCTATGGTTTCTTCTGGGATGGTTTCACGACTTACATTTAAGTCTTTTATCCATTTTGAGTTTATTTTTGTGTATGATGTTAAGATGGTGGTCAAGTTTCATTTCTTTGCATGTACCTGTCTAATTTCCCTAACACCATTTATTGAAGAGACTGTCTTGACTCCATTGTATGTTCTTGCTTTCTTTGTCAAATATTAATTGAGGTTAATGGCTTGAGTTGATTTCTGGGATCTCTATTCTGTTCCATTGATCTATCTGCCTGTTCTTGTGCCAGTACCAGGCTGTTTTGCATAGAGTAGCTTTATAGTATAACTTGATATCTGATAATTTGTTATTTTCAATCCTGAACTGACTGCAGACTTACAAAATTAGAAACCCCATATCGAGATCTTGGTTATTCTAAAGTAGAGATGATGCTAAGATTCCTGTTCTAAACCAAGTAAATTTGCATGATCTTTATCATTGAGAATATACCCCAGTGAGCTAAATGCTACAAGCACAGGTTTGATAAGATGTACTGCAAATTCTACAAAAACCCTTTTCCTTTCTATAGCTGTAGACACAATTGTAGTACTGAAAATGATAAATGAGGGGAGGGTCCATTGCAGCCAAACCCCTTCTCACCACACCATCCCTCATGCTCCATTCCTCATGGCCTCTAGCATCTGGAGCAAGTGCCTGAGTTGTACTTCCAGATCAGATTATCAAATTCAGAGTTGGTTCATTTAACTAGGTGAGTATTTTATGAACCTAGTCATTTACAAAGAGGTAGGTGGAAATAAAGAAGGGAAATTGGAGAGAGGGGTTGAGTTCTATGGGAGTTGAGGAAAACTATTATTAATTTTTTAAAGGTGATAGTTTATGCTCTTTAAGCAAACCAAGATGTGATCATGTTTAAATCTGGGCCAGAGAATGTAAAATGTGGAGAGACTGTGGGAGAATGTTTTGCCTGTTGCTCTCAGTTTAGATATGATGCTGCTGTATCAAATATGTTTCTTAGGTCTATTAAGAAATGATGGTGGTGAGATTTGAGTAGAAATCAAAATCCCTGAGGTTAAGTCTGCAGTCAGTGGCCTGAGGACTGCTTAGCTCTTTCTGGACTCTGCAGAGCGCCCTGGCCCCAGGGTTCCAGATGTGGAACTGAGAAGATAACCCAGGTTCTCTAATCTGAAGCCTTTCCTTGTTCACAACTATAGACCCTGGTCTGATCTCTTTTTTTTTATTATTATTGATTTTTAAAAATTATTATTATTATTATTTTTTAGAGAGAGCATAGAAAGCTAGAAACATCGATGAGAGAGAACCATCAACCAGCTGCCTCCTGCACAACACCTACTGGGGATGTGCCCGAAACCGATGTACATGCCCTTGACCAGAATCGAACCTGGGACCTTTCAGTCCACAGACCGACGCTCTATCCACTGAGCCAAACCGGTTTCGGCTCTGGTCTCTTTTAATGACCCCGCTGTTTCTGCGCATGGCTCCTTCTAGTGATTCCTCTTAATAGTAAGTTTCAGCTGGTCTGTTAGTGAGTTTCCTCAATCATTTAGTAGCCATTTGATCCTAATACCCATACTCCTCTTTCCCTACATTCTGTATCTATTTGAGAAACTGGAATATAAAAGTGCATTGTCCCCAAGACCCAACCCATGCCTTCCTGAAACTCTCAGCTTGAAAGCCACGTCAAGTCAGGTGTCCTGCGGGTTTCACCACGGGCCAGTGCGTGCCCAGAGCGGGGAGCTGCGCCCACACAGGACGCGGCCCCCCCGCCCCAGCCTCTCTGCCGGGAAGGCAGCAGCAGGTGATGGAGCCCGCTCCCGCAGGAGAAGGTGGAGACGCAGAGGCAGCGCTTCCGGCTGGAGTTCCAGAAGTACCGCGGCTTCCTGGCGCAGGAGGAGCAGCGGCAGCTGCGGCGGCTGGAGCTGGAGGAGCGCGCCACGCTGCAGCGGCTGCGCGAGGGCCAGCGCGGGCTGGCGCAGCGGGGCCGGGCGCTGCGGGAGCTGGCGCGGGAGCTGGAGGACCGCTGCCGGCTGCCCGCGCTGGACCTGCTGGAGGTGAGTCCGAGGGCTGCAGCGCTCACTGCCCCCGGAGAGGGCGCCCTCGAGCTCCCCAGAAGCGCGTGAGAACCAGGGGATCCTCCAGAATCCTATAGAATATAATAGTTCCCATGGAAGAGAAAGACCTAAATATTTTTTTAAATTAATTTTACCACCTGTGTAACATTAAACAGAAGGACAGCCTACACGGTGTGGGCCTAAAACACAATCTTAAAACCTCACAATCTGCCAATGACCATATTGTGGAGTCAGTGATGGCCAGTTCAGAAAGTCTTTGGTAACCTGTCTGTGGGCATTAGCCAAACGTATACATCCATTTTAAGTTGTCCGGATTGGGGTGTTCGAGTTAAAATTTAAGGCCAACAGCCGCATCGCATGCCCGTTCCAGGCACAGTGCCAGCGCAGAGCTTGGTGCAGCTTGCTCAGATGCTGTGTGGTGTTACAGACAAATAGTGGGGAGATGGGCAAGTTCACTTTCTCTTCCATGAAAGGTTAATCCTGGGTAATCGGGAATGCCGTCCTGGGTGCATGCGTGCCATCTGATTGAACCACGTGATAGGGGTTCCCAGGCAGACTTCATTCTCTGAGCCCCAGTGATGTACTCAGAGGCTTCTAAACGAAGTGACTCATGTCCTCTTGCAAGGATGGCGACTTAGCACAGTGGAGGTCGTTAAATGAGAATTGACAAAGCATTTATATTTAATTTTATCCATTTTGTCTTTCAAATGTCACTATGTAGAAATTATTATTGTTTATTGTTATTGTTGCTGTACCTATTTCCTTGTGAGCAAACTGAAGGTCAGAAAGGATTTTTTAATTTAAATTTTAAACAGTAGGTAAACACAAGAACGTAAGCATTTTTTAAAAAAATTCTCACCTGAGGATATTTTTTTTATTGATATGAGTGAGATTTGGGGGGGGGGGGAGTAAAGAGAGAGGGGGAGAGGGGGGGGGCATCGATGTGAGAGAGTTACAGCTCAAGCAGGAATCAAACCCTCAACCTGGATAGGTGTCCTGACTGGGAATTGGACCTGCCACCTTTCGGTGTACAGGACAAACCCCAACCACCTGAGCCACACCAGCCAGGTCAGAACTGTAGCATTTTCTTTTTTCTTTTTTCTATATATTTTATTGATTTTTTACAGAGAGGAAGGGAGAAGGATAGAGAGTTAGAAACATCGATGAGAGAGAAACATCGATCAGCTGCCTGCACACTCCCCACTGTGGATGCGCCCGCAACCAAGGCACATGCCCTTGACCGGAATCAAACCTGGGACCCTTCAGTCTGCAGGCCGACGCTCTACCACTGAGCCAAACCGGTCAGGGCAGAACTGTAGCATTTTAAATAACATTCATTGTCTTATCATATCTCAAAATACATCTTATTTTAAATGAACATTTATTAACACCAAATAAATGTAAAAATGATTTATAATACAAATCTTAGGAGGATGTATTCAAATAATTTCTTTTTATTTTGATCCTCACCTTTCCCTTTCCCCCCAGTATCAGTAAACTACATCCACTGGCCAAGAACAAGGTCTCCCATAAATATAAACTCTATCATTTCCTACTTATAAAAATTAATCTGATAGGTGAACGTTTTTAGAGGGAGAGCAGAAATGTACGCAGTTGATTTATTTAATGATCTACTTGGCGATAAAATGGTGTCTTTATCCACTTAGGGAACCTGTTCACATAAGAATCCATTGAAATGAGGAATTTGGGGTTTTCTTTCAGAGACATTGAGAGTAACGTTTTATGTCTGTACCTTTCACTTTCTCAAACACATTCTGCACATATATTCAAGTTATTTCTTATTAACTATTTTAATATTGACTTCATTGCAGGTGTTCCCCTTTTCCCACATACATTTGTGGCAGAACGTAACTCTTCATTAAAATATCCAAATGTCAGAGTTACTGATTTGGAAAATAGTTAAATTGGTAGATATCAGAGGAATTAACTTAAACTTTGTATATTCTATTCTCATAGAGGGAAACTGGTTATATTATTTGAAATTTATGAGAAAATTCAACAACAGCCTATTTTTGTTTCTTTTTAATAAGAGAGAGTCATGTCTTTATCTTAGTAATAGTTCGTGATTTCCAATAGTTCCTAAAGAGATGTTCATGGCGTGTCCCCATTTTGTCAAAAGCCGTTCTGATATCAAACTCACACCTGCTTGTGTTTCTCTTTTATTTCCAGGGCGTGAGAGGAACCTTGAGCCGGTATGTCTACTCTCTGAAGCAGAGCACGGTTTGGGAGGGGCCCAGGAGGTTGGTGGATGTTGAAAACTGTGGGTTCTGTGTTCTTCGCAGAAGTAAGAGTATCACGCAGCTGGAACCGGAGACCATCCCCCTGGAGCTGAAGACCATGTGTCGAATCCCTGGGATGAGAGAAATGTTGAGGAAGTTCCAAGGTGGGTTGCACCTTAGAGCTGGAGGACAGTGGTGTTTGGGGTCTGGAGCAGTCAGGGACAGTAACAAGCAGAACCCAAAGTTTCATGGCTAAAATCAGCACAGGTTTATTTTGAGGTCATGTCATATTATTACTGGACTAGAGGCCCGGTGCATGAAATTCATACACTGGTAGAGTCCCTAGGCTTGGCCAGTGATCAAGGCTGACCTGTGGGCAACTGGGAGGGTGATCGGGGGGGGGGGGGGGGCTGGTGGTACCTGCCTTGGCTGGCCTAGAGGCTGCAGGCTGGGGGCAGCTCCTGCATTGATCATCTGACCTCTGTGTGTATCATAGCGACCAGTGTTCCGCCATTTGGTCGATTTGCATATTAGGCTTTTTTATATAGGATTGTGGAGGGTTTGGTTTCACATCATCTCATTCTGGGGCCCTTGCAGACAGAGCCCACCTCCTTCGTATTGCTGGTAGCCACGTGGAGGGCGAGGTTATGGTGAACCAGGCATTGCTCCTGAAGGTGCATGTGCTCCTGAGGTGGTGCACGTGGCTTCCCCGATGATGTTATTAATGAAAATGAAAAATGTCAGACTGTAAGGGATGAGAGACACCACCATACCCAGAGGGAAGAGGACAGGGATGTGGGTGAACAGTCTTGATGCCAATATATACTGCATTTGCTTAGAGTAGTGGGCTCAGTAGCTATGACAGGAGTAACATTAATTTCAGTAAATCTGCATGTTCTTGTTTATAAAATGCTAAATCAGTATAATTTGAAGGACTAGATGAAATATATTTGAAAAAAAATACATCAATATAAAAGCATTACAGAGTATCCTATATAATAAAAGCTTAATATGCTAAGTGTCCTGTTGTCTGGTCGTCCATTCAACCAGTCAAAGCGTAATATGCTGATGATGTGCTAAGGCTGCTCAACCACTCGCTATGATGTGCACTGACCACCAGGGGGAAGACACTCCAACTGGTAGGTTAGCTTGCTGCTGGGGTCCAGCTGATTGGGACTGAGCCAGATGGGCTGGACACAGCCTGGAGCCCTCCTGCAGCCACTCTCCAACTGGCCAACCTCCCGCTTCCCTCCCTGGTCCTGATCATGCATTGGTGGGGTCCCTCAGCCTGGCCTGTGCCCTCTTGCAGGATTCCTCAGGTGATATCAGAGAGCCGGTTTCAGCCCAATCGCACTCAACATAAGAGCTGCCCCCTGGTGTTCAGTGTGCTCCCAGCCAGAAGCCGTCAGTCGGGCATCCCTGGAGGGCTTCCGGCCTGCAAGAGGGGCACAGGCTGGGCTGAGGGACACTCCCCTCTCCCCCCCTCCCTGCCCAGTGCAAGGATTTTGTGCACTGAGCCTCTAGTCAAATAATAATTTTGGCTTATTTTATTATCTGTCAACTTGATGAGTTCCTTAAGTTAGAGAATTAATAAAGTAAAAAATATTTAGTTAATTTTTTTTAGGTAAGAATAACTGTGGTGTCATAAATTAGTTGGTTTGGCCTGATTATGTTATTCTTTACAACAGTACAGATTCAATTTTTATTTTTTTTTAAATCCTCACCCAAGTGAGGATATTTTTTCCATTGACCTTTAAAAAGCGGAAGGGAGGGGAGGGAGAGAGAAAGAGAAAGGAGAGAGAAAACCATTAACGTGAAAGAGACACATTGATAGGTTGCCTGCTGCTCATACCCTGACTGGGGCTGGGGATTGAACCATCAACCGTGTAACCGAGGTATGTGCCCTTGAACCCAAGACACGTTGATCTGAGGGCTGGCACCCTAACCACTGAGCAAACTGGCCAGGGCCAGATTCAATTTTTTAATATTTTTTAAAAAAATACAACTTATACCATCGGGACCAGTTTGGCTCAGTGGATAGAGCGTCGGCCTGTAGACTGAAAGGTCCCGGGTTCGATTCCGGTCAAGGGCATGTACCTTGGTTGCGGGCACATCCCCAGTAGGGGGTGTGCAAGAGGCAGCTGGTCGAAGATTCTCTCTCATTGATGTTTCTAACTCTCTATCCCTCTCTCTTCCTCTCTGTGAAAAATCAATAAAATATATTTTTTTAAAAAATACAACTTATACCAATAATGTAAATGCATTAGTGGTTTCACTACTTAATGGGAAGCACCCTTGTCGCATAGTGATTGCTGGGGAGGAGGGTGGGGAGAGCTAAAGGAGGGTAATAGGGGAGATAAATAGTGATTGACTGAGACTTGACTTGGCTGGTGAACACACAATGTAGTGTACAGATGCTGTGTCATAGAATTGTGCACCTGAAGCTTGTATAATTTTGTTAACCATTGTCACCCAATATATTCAATAAAGAGGGGGAAAAATACATAGATATTACTGGATCATAGAAAATAGAACATATTATTGAATGAAAAAAGAAGCCTATAAAACATAAAATTAATTTCATTTATGCAAAATCTATGTACATAAAAATATAATAATGCTTATCTATGAGAGATGGGATTTATTGTGATTTTTACTTTATTCTGTACATTTTTAATATTATTTGAAATTTTTATAATAAAAAATAAAGCTGTTATGCTCCAAATACCCCCCCCCCCCTTAACTCCTTTCCCCTCTTTAGCAGTGAAGGTCAATGATTTAACCCATGTTCTGATAGGCAGATTTATATATATCAACTGCATAAATTCTTACAATCATTATACTCTCAGAATCCATGTCCTCATATTCCCAATGCTATTTACAGACTACAGTGGTCAATTAATCAGTTCAACAAATATGCCAGCCTTTTTTCTAAGCATCGAAATATGTCAGTGGACAACAAAAATGCTACAAATCCCAGCTTCATGTTGCTAATATTATGTAAATTTTTCAATATGTAGGAAATGTTAGAAGATGATACAGAATATTTAAAACAAGGAGGAAGTAAGGGTGACTAGGAGTTCTCGGGGGTAGGGCATCTACTTTTGAATTTTGTGATGGGGGAAGGCCTGACCCGGTAGGGAATAACTCAGCTAACATCTGATCTAGAGACGAGCCTTCCAAGAAGGAAGTATGATAGATGGCTTGTAGGAACTGTGAGGAGGCCTATACTCTGATGGCAGAGTCGCGAGGACAGTAATTAGAACACTGATCCAGATGCTTTACCTCTAAGTCATCTAAGGAATCAGTGAACAGTTGTACGTGGAGGAATAGCAAGATTGGGTTAGTCAGGTGTGAGTATTAATAAAACATCGCTATAAGTGACTTAGAGACAAATAAGAATAGCAATCATAGTAGTAATATTTGTTATTGTGATATTAAAAATAAAGCTATATTAATGAAATCCACTATTTTTGTCCTATCTAATAAAAGAGTAATATACAAATTGACCATCACACCAAGACAGAAGATGGCCACCCCTATGTGATCAAAGATGGCTGCCCCCATGTGGACACAAGATGGCCACCACAATGGTTGCCATAAGATGGCCACCACAGATGGTTGCCATAAGATGGCCTGCAGAGGAGGACAGTTGTGGGAAGTTAGGGGTGACTAGGCCAGCAGAGGAATACAGTTGGGGGGACCAGGCCTGCAGGGGAGGGCAGTTGTGGGCAATCAGACCAGCAGGGAGGACAGTTAGGGGTGACCGGGCCAGCAGAGGAGGGCAGTTGGGGGAGACCAGGCCAGCAGGGGAGGGCAGTTTGGGGGGACTGGGCTTGCAGGGGACCAGGCCTGCAGAGGAGGCAGTTAGGAGCCAGCAGTCCTGGATTGTGAGAGGGATCAGGCCTAATGGGCAGTCAGACATCCTTCTAGGGGTCCCAGATTGGAAAGGGTACAGGCTGGGCTGAGGGACACCCTCCCCCCATGCATGAATTTCATGTACCAGGCCTCTAGTTATTTATAAAAAGAAAGCACTGAATATTTTACATTCTTACTTCTTCACCGAGATTTCATATGTAGATTTATTATGTGTACATGTGAAATTTCATATCAACCTCATTGGGACATCCCAGTGTCAGTATTTGTGTCTTATTGCTGCCCCAGACTTAATAGTTACTTAAAACCACGTGCATTTATTAGCTCAAGACTTCCAGATGGGGTGAGCTGGCTTCTTTGCTTAGGGTTTCACAAGATCAAAATCAAGTTGTTGGCCAGGCTAGGCTTCTGTGAAAGATCTGGGGAAGAATCGCTTCCAACCTTACTTAGGTTCTTAGCATAATGCATCTCCAGGCAGTTGTGGACTCAGATCCCCATTTCCTTGCTGACTGTCAGTTGGAGCCTTTTTCCTCATGGGGTGCCCCTCCATCTTCAACGCCAGCAGTGACAGGTCAAATCCAAATATCTCTGCCTTTTTCTGGCAGGAGCCCAGCATCCAGAGAAACCTCTGATTTTTTTTTTTTTTTAAAGGTTGATGTGATCATATTAGAGCCACCCAGATCATCCCTCTTGAGTATCACCAGAGTATGAAGGTCACGGGTTCTACCTTGGAATTCCACCTAACAGCTTTGGAAGGGGTGGTTTTTATATGAATGACATTTTCTTATAGTTTCTTAGAAGAAATTTTATATAGTAGTCCAAGTAGTTTTTAAATTTTATTTTAAATTCAAAAAGATATTCCAAAGAGCGCCCAAGTGCGTTGGGTGTAGAGCAAAGGATGCTAAGTGGTTATGCACTTGTTTTGTTATGAAAACATCCGTGGTCATGTTTTCAATGGGGCAGTCATGAGCCCTGGACTCAGAGTAGCAGTGGAACACACTCAAACGTAATGAAGAAAATTCTCGGCGACCTGCAAGATGAAATCCTTCCTGGGCATTCTCTGGCAGTTGTTAGAGAACGAGGAATGGTGTGATTTTTTTTTTCTTCAATATGATGGGTTCCTATGTGTTCACCAGCCTTTTCCATTCTTTTCCATGTCCCACAAATTTTTTCCACAGTTGACGTAAAGCTGGACCCGGCCACAGCGCACCCCAGCCTCCTCTTGACCGCGGACCTGCGCAGCGTGCAGGATGGGGAACTGTGGAGGGATGTCCCCAACAACCCCGAGCGATTTGACACGTGGCCCTGTGTCCTGGGTTTGCAGAGCTTCTCATCAGGAAGGCATTACTGGGAGATCATGGTGGGAGAAAGAGCAGAGTGGGGGTTAGGAGTCTCTCAAGACACAGTGGCCAGAAAGGGGGAAACGACACCGTCTCCCGAGAACGGAGTGTGGGCCATGTGGCTGCTGAAAGAGAACGAGTACATGGTGCTGGCCTCCCCGTCGGTGCCTCTCCTCCACCTGGAACGGCCTCGGCGGGTTGGGATTTTCTTGGACTATGAAGCAGGTGAAATCTCCTTTTATGACATCACAAACGGGTCTTACATCTACACTTTCAGCCACCTGTTCAATGGTGTTCTCCGACCTTACTTCTTCATCTGTGACACAAATCCTCTCGTCCTGCCACCTATGACAGAAGCAGAGTCAGGAAATGGCGCATCCAGCAGTCATCCTAACCCTGCTTCTACCGTTGGAGATGACCATCCCTAGAATTCTGTCTGGAGGTCCACTCCATGTGGAGCGGCTTCCCGGAGCAGAGTGGGGGACATCCAAACGCGAGGCCTGAACAAATGTCCCCATTTTAGGACTGCACTTCAGTCATTGCTGCCATGGAAGATTTCCCACAGGGACAAAGACAAAGTGTGGACTATTTGCATTTGGAAGATGCAACTAAAATATAATAATATTAGACATGGGATATTCCCATCACTTTTAATCAAGATGGCTCCACATGCTTTCTTGATGACTCTTTTAAAATGAATTTTGTATTAAATCTCTTTACATATTCATTATAATTTCTCAGTCATTTCAATTCATAGCTTCCATGTATTAACAATTAGAAATGGCAGTTCTTTTCCATCAGTTTTTTTATTTTTTTATTTTTTCAAATTACCATTGACATATGATGTATTAGTTTCAGGTGTGATTAGACATTATGTAACTTACTGAGTGGTCATCCTGATAAATCTCATACCCATCTGAAACCATAAATAGTCTTTAGGATATTGTTGACTATACAGAGGCCCAGAACACAAAATCCAGTATGCACCCTCTCGCAATTTGGCACTGCTGGCTCCTAACAGCTCACCTGCCTGCCTGCCTGATTGCCCCTAACCACTCTGCTTATCTGCTAGATCGCCCCTAACCACCTCTGCCTCGCCCCTGTAATCACAGCTTCATCAGGAAGGTCATCCGGCTATCTGATCTAATTAGCATATTATGCTTTTATTATTATAGATCCCTTATGCTGTTCTTTACACCCCCATGATTATTCTATAGCAATGAATTTGGACTTCCCCGTCCCCTCACCTTTTTCAGCCATTCCCTGACCCCCTTCCATCTGGCAACTGTCAAAATGTTCTCTGTATCTATGAGTCTGTTTCTGTTCTGCTTGTTTGTTTATTTTGTTCTTTAGATTAAATTATTAATAAATATGTATGTATTGGCATTTTGTTATTCATATATTTATCTTTTTCTTTCTTTCTTGTTCTTCTTAAAGAAGTTCCTTTAACATTTCATGTAATACTAGTTTGGTGGTGATGAACTGCTTTAGCTTTTTCTTGACTGGGAAGCTCTTTATCTGACCTTCAATTCTAAATAATAGCTTTGCTGGATAGAGTAATGTTGGTGGTAGGTCCTTGCTATTCATCACTTTGAATATTTTATGTCACTTCCTTCTGGCCTGTAAAGTTTCTGTTTAGAAACCAGCTAACAGTCTTTTGGGACCTCCCTTGCTTTTCTCTTGTTGCTTTTAAGGTTTTTTTTCTCTTTGTCTTTAAACTTTTTCATTTCAATTATAATGTGTCTTTGTGTAGGCCTCTTTGAGTTCATCTTGTTTGGGACTCTCTATGCTTCCTGGACTTGTATGTCTTCAGCAGGTTAGGGAAGTTTTCTGTCATTATTTCTTTTAAATAGATTTTCAACTTCTTTACTTATTCCATTTAATCCTTAAATTCTGCTCCAACTCAGATCCTTAGTGAGGACTATACAGCTTTTATCCACTCTGGGCCCACCCTCCCAGCCGCTCTTCACCAATAATATGTTGAAATATATTCCAATAATATATTGGAAAATGACATTTTCCCCAATATATTATTTATCATCTTCCAATGTGCTACATTGTTGTCTTATTTATTTATTTATTTATTAGTTCATTTCTGTTGCTTTTGTCTTTTTTTTTTTTTTTTTTTTTTTTTTTTTTTTTTTTTTGTAGAATGTAAGCACTGTGGGAGGGGTCTTTGTCTGTTGACAGCAATATGTTCAACATCACCTAAGCCCCTCAAACACTGGTGCTTACTGAACAAATAAATGATTGTCTTGCTGGGGTTGCAGAAATAAATGATGGAGCTGAAAGTGTTTTGTGGGAAATATAGTATACTTAAGTGATAGTGTTGTATTTATAACTAATTATTGGCCAATAAAGTTTAATTCCAAGTGCTACATGAGTAAAATCAATTTTTATGTGTAGAGAAAATTTTGAAAGAAGACCTAGTTTGCAGAGGTGATGGAATCTAGTGATAGACACGGTCCTATGGAACCTCCTGTAGCTTTAATTCCTCTGAAAACACAACTCCTCAAAATCACGCTTTGCCTCATATACATGACCACATGACACTTCTACTTGCTAGAAATTTGAATAACATTAGGAAAATTCTATGGACAAAAACCTTTTTTAAAAAATTGAGTTGTGCTCCATTTGTCCCTCTTCATCTGAACTGCACAATAGTGCCGACTCCTCTCCCCACAGGGTGCCTTGGGTCTGCTCTCTTTGTCTTCACTTTCTACTATTGTGCATGTCTCTGTTATTACGCACTAGGGGCCTGTTGCAGGAAGATCCCTGCAAGTGGCCTCTGTGGCCATGTGCCGCCATCACATGCACCGCCACCCACCCCATCCCGCCCCGCCCCACCCACCACCACTGCCCGCCCCACCCGTGCTTTCTCTCTAGCAGCCGCCTTGCTTTCCCCTTTCCCTCTCACTTCCTTCTATGCTGTCTTTAGTCTTCACTCCTCCCTCCCTTAGCATTTGAAAATTAACCGCCATCTTTGTTGGGTTAATTTGCATACTCACTCTGATTGGCTGTGGGCGTAGTGAAGGTATGGTCAATTAGCATTTTCCTCCTTTATTAGTGTAGATTGGCCTTTTTTTGTAGCCCACATTATTATAAAGAATAAATAAATTAATAAGAATAATTAAAAAGTCACCCCCTAACAGCAGATTCTAGTTTCTATGTCTGCAGTTTATCAGAAACCAGATGATTTATTTAAATAACTAATTTGATCCTTTACTCACCTTCACCCCCACAATGGGGCACTGTTTGGTCAAGTGATTTAACTAAATTGCTAATTATTCTAGCATGTGGGAAGGCCCTAAATGATGAAAACTGGAAAGGTGGTAATATGTGGAACTGGTGGAAGGAGGAAGTAAAATAGCTTTATTAGACAGTAGAAGGAACTGAGCAAATTTAGAATAGTAATTTAAACTCTTAGGTCCCAAAAGGCAGAGAAATTGGGACTCTGGGATTTATTAAACCCATCTGCTCTCCCAGCACCAAACCTATGTTTACATTTCTAGGGAGCAGCTCTTCCATTGTACTTGGAAGAGGGCAGGTGGAGGAGGGCTGCACATGCTACACATCTACAGTTCTACACACTCTCCTGCTTGGAGCAATCTTTCACTCCCTGAGTCTGCCTGTATCTACACAAAAGAACCCAAATAATTATTTTGACACATTCCTCCATCAATTGACTCAAAAAAAGCATGCTTTTGCTCTGACTGACTGCTAGGACTCAATTATTATTTATTTATTTACTTTATTATTATTTAAATTTTCAGCCTTGTGATATCATAGTTGCCTCTGTAAGATCATTAAAACATGGTCATAGCCCTGGTGGGTTTGGCTCAGTGAATGGAACATTGGCCTACAGACTTAAAGGTCCCGGGTTCAATTCCTGTCGAAGGCATATGCACAGGCTGTGGGCTCAATCTCCCGTGTGCGGCGTGCAAGAGGCAGCCCATCAATGATTCTCTCTCATCGTTGATGTTTCTCTCTCTCTCTCTCCCTCTTCCTTCCTCTCTGAAATAAATAAAGATATATTTTAAATAACCTAAAATAATAAAACACTGTCATATGGACACAATATGATAAACCAGGGGTTTATGGTATTTTTTTTTTATTTCTCCCTAGTCAGTTTTTGAAACTGAAGGGATTAAGCAAAACAAAATAAACCCTCATAGACACAGACAGCAGCATGGTGATTACCGGGGGGAAAAGGAGTGGGGGGAGTTAGAACGGGTAAAATGGAGACTACATGGTGAGGGAAGATTTGACTTGTGGTAGTGAACGCACAATACAATATAGAGATGATGCTTTATAGAATTGTACACTTGAAACCTATATAATTTTATTAACCAATTTCACCAGTAAATCCTATCTAATAAAAGAGTAACATGCAAATTAACCATCACTCTGCTACACCAGCCACACCTACCAGCCATGCCCACCATCCAATCAGAGCAAATATGCAAATTAACCCCAACCAAGATGGCTGAGGACACAGAGAGCAGGAGGGAGGCTTGGGTTTCCCTGGCAATGGAGGAAGCCAAGCTTTCCACACACCCTGGTGCGCCTAAGCCTCCACTCGAGGATACAAACTTTCAATTATAGAAGGTAAATAAATTCCAACAGAAATGGCAGCAGCCACTGAGCTGGAAGAGCAGGAGGCTAGGGTTGCCAAGGCAATGAAGAAAGCCAAGATTCTGCAGCCCTGGCCTGCTCAGGCCTTCACTCCAGGCTACAAAGTTTCAATTGTAGAAGATAAATAAATTCCAGATATCAGGGCCTCCACTTGGGTCACCAGGGGGACGTGGCCAGCTTACAAATCTTCACAGGCCTCTAGCACAGGCCCCCCATACCCCAAGGGAACCCCCACCCTGGTCTGGGACGTCCTTCAGGGCAAACCAGCTGGCCCCACCCATGCATCAGGTCTCTATCCTATCTAATAAAAGAGTAATATGTAGATTGACCAACACTCTGACACACAAGATGGCTGCCCCCATGTGGACACAAGATGGCCCGCAGAAGAGGGCAGTTTGGGAAGCACTAGGCCTGCAAGGGAGGGCAGTTGGGGGTGATCAACCCTGTAGGAGAGGGCAGTTTGCCCTGTTTGCCCCCAACTTCCCTCCTCTGCAGGCCTGGTCACTCAGGCTGGCAGGGGAGCAGTTAGACATCAGTCAGGCTGGCATGGGAGTGGTTAGGGGGTGATCAGGCTGGCAGGCAGAAGTGGTTAGGAGCAATCAAGAAGGCAGGCAGGCGAGCAGTTGGGAGCCAGCAGTCCTGGACTGAGCCAGCAGGTGAGCAGTTGGGAGCCAGGGGTCCCAGATTTGGAAAAGGTGCAGGCTGGCCTGAGGGACAAACTCCCCCCCCCCGCCTTGTGTACAAATTTCATGCACTGGGCCTCTAGTTTAATATAAAAAGAAATAAAGTAAAT